ACGTGTAGCCAAAGTTGAGACCCCATTGCTCTGTATTTCCCGCAACTCTTTCACATCAGAACACTTACCACGCTGCATCGGAATGGGCCATTTCTGAGCCACGGGGGCAGGGGGTGTCCCAAAACCAGAGGTTCCTGGACCTTCAGTTAAAAAAGAAACCAGGGGACGCTGGGGTGGCTCGGTGGTTGAGCATCTGCCTTTGGCTCAGGGCGTGATCCTGGGGTCTGAAGACAAGTTCTACACCAGGTTCTCTGTGAGAAGCCTGCTTCTCCCTCTGCCTGTCTCTGCCTCTCTCTGTGTCTCTCATGAATAAATAAATAAAATATTTTTTTAAAAAAGAAAATCAGACCTTTGGGCAGGGCCCTGGAAAATGTCTATCGAATAATTCTGGTGTGTGGCCAAATCTACGGACTCTCTCCTAGGTAAGAACTAGGACTTATTTGTACCCACGAAGGTGTAGCACGGTGCTCAGTCATAGCTGGACCTTGATAAGCATTTGTGTAATGAATGAAGTCTAGTAACATGAATCTGGGGACTGGGTGTATATATTCAATTCCAACAGCAGCACCTGGAAAAACTACTTCCTGGAACAGAATGCAAATTCAGACTGGGCAGCTTTTCAAATGTGTTTTTTAATCCACCAGTGCCCCCTACTGATCTGAAGATGGATAAATCAAAACAATGGTTACAGTTCAAATATTTTAATTGTATATGCACATAACTAACTAGTCACACACACAGTACACTTTTTCCACCAACACCTATACTATCAATTCCTTTCCGCTCCAGTCCTAGTTAACTTAGGCTCATAACTCTCAAACCTAGATCTATCCTACCATTTGTTGGTCCCCACTTCCAGGAGGCAGTCATGATAGAGTTCCAAAAGTAGTTCTCGGAAAAGTCCTCAGAGCCTCTCACTGATCTTTTTTGTTCTTTGGTCAGTGTCCCTTGCAAATCCCACCACACTCATAAAATCACCACCTTTTTAAAAACACAAGAAACCATGGGACACCTGGGTGGCTCAGTGTTTGAGTATCTGTCTTTGGCTCAGGGCTCAGGGGATCAAGTCCCACACTGGGCTCCCTGCAGGGAGCCTGTTTTCCCCTCTGTCTATGTCTCTGCCTCTCTCTCTCTGTGTCTCTCATGAATAAATAAAATCTTTAAAAATAATAAAATAATAATAATAATAATAATAAAGTAAAAACACAAGAATCCATTCACCTACCAATCTGTTTCAGTTCCTGCTATTCAAAGTATAATGGAGCACCAGCAGCATCTATATCATCCAGAAGCTTGCTAAAAAATGGACACCCTGAGGCCCCACCCCAGATGAACTGAAGCGGAGTTGCATGTACATTAAAGTTTGAGAAGCACCAGTTCTCAACGTTCTCAACTACTAGACCTAACACCACCATTTTTATGACAAATATTTGTCTAAGTAAGTGTTTTTGCTATGTTGAAATAAAAGTTATCACCCATCTACACAAGTAAGACCAAAAAAAAGAGAGACCACTATACTATCTGATGGAAATGTAATGGGAGAACAAAAGGGCAAGATTTATAGTAAGAATTGTATTTCGGCATATAAATGTTCAACACAACTAAATAAAAGACATGCAGAACAATCCAAGTTCCCAAAATATATCCCAAATGGGTGGTACTGTCTGGCTGAGAACTGCTGCTCTACTAACACTCCCAATCTTTTCTTTCCAGCTCACAGAAAGAAGGCAACATCTTTCTTCCTTTTTGAAGCTGAGGGATTGATTCTCTCCTGTAAAAGCCCCCTTCCTACATTCCTCCCTAAGGCAATAAACATTGCCAAATCTTGAACACCAAAACAACCACAAAAACAACTCTACAATCTTGACCCAACATGTCCCTCTAGTTACCATATTCTTGCTCCTTCCTTTGAAGGAGAAAGTCAAACTTATCAACCCTACCGTTGTATCCACTTACTCATGTCTCAGTCATCAACCCATAGTAATACAGCTTTTGCTTCCATCAGTAAATCCACATATATAAAGGTCATGAAAGCCTTCCAAATTGCCCAAATTAACAAACACTTCTTGAAATTCATCTAACTTATCTCTCTGTAATGGGCATTGCTGGTCACACATCCAAACTCCATTCCCCACTGTATTCATAAATTCATTTCTCCCATGTGACTAAGACAAATTGACCCCACCCCTAGCTGCTCCTGTTTAGTTCAAGCCAATCAGAGCATGGCATTCCCCTGGCACTGGCTATCAGGTCAGGGGCAGACACATGACCTAGGTTGGTCCAATCAGACTGAAGGAAGAGTGTAATCCAAGCGTGGGAGTTGTCCTCTCCCCTGCTTTAGTGAATGAGAAAGCATGTGTTACTACTGCCAGACAACCATAGGGGAATCGATCTTACCTTGGAAAGCCAAGAAATGAGATCAGGTCCTTGACAACACTGTTGATCCACTGGAGTCCACCCTTCCTCTAGACTTTGTGAGAGAATTCTTCTTACTATTTAAGTAACTGTATTTTCCCAGCTGAAAGCATCCTAACATGGCCTGTCCTCCTTGAAACGTTTTTCCCTTGATTTTCTAAACATCACCCTTTCGTACACCTACTTATCAGAAGTTGCTTCTCAAACATCTCTGGCTTCCCCTCTTCCTCTGCCTATTCTTTACATTTTGGTGTCTGGTAAGGTTTGTTGTGATCTCTTCTACTCAAACTACATGTTTGAATAATTTAAGCTAAGCTATATTAGCACTTCCCCCAAAGGAGTACCACTGCTGATGCTCCCCAGCTCATCCACCTATGGAACTCCTACTTGTCTTTCAAAGCTAAATATAAATGTTTCCTCTGTGAAGCCTCCCCTGAAGTTCCCAGGGGTTCATTGCCCCTTTTTTGTGCCATAGACCCTACGGACCTGTTCTCAAAATAATGCTTCTAACTGCATAAACTGCCAACTATACTTCAATAGTATAAAAACATTTTTAAATCACAACATATGATATAGTAATATATACTCATTACCTCATTAAATAAAAAGACCTAACAGTCTTACAACTACTATAATTTTGAAGTAGTGATGACCATAAATGATGCCTTGAGATCTGTAACAACTGTGATATGAAAATGTCTGTGACATGTTTTGGTCCTGTGACTTCTACTGATGACAGGTACTGTTAATATTACTGTGATTTATTGCTGTACTAGCTTATTAAATTAATTGCTCCCAATGAACCTCCTTATATCCATGCTCTTGTGTAGTGCCCCCATACTGACTCTGGGCTTGGCTATGTGACTTGTTTTGACATGAGCAAATGTGATGAAAGCAGTTAAGTGTTTGTGCAATCAGACTTGCCTTCTTGGAACCCAGTGGCCAGGTGAGGAAGCTTAAGGTAGGCACAATGAGGGGCACCAAGCCGCCATATATGGCAGTAAGGCCACCTTATAGTCTAGCCACCAGCTGAATTCACCCACTAGGGATGCCAGCAAGACTGCCCAGGCAACCCACTGACAGTGAGAAATAATAAATCATTGTAGTTTTAAGGCACTGGTTTTCACTGGCTTGTTATCCAGCAACATCTAACTGAAAGTTACCTACACTCACAACCGAAGTAAATGCTACATTTCAGCTCCAGATTGGTGAAAATAAAGACTTTTTCCCATCAGAGTTTAAGGACTGAATTCTATCTACAGGTCCTCTGAGGGGCTGAAGACCACAGGTTAAGAACCCCACCCAGTGCAGAAGGAAACCCCTGAAGCAGAGGACATCCTGCTCTCCTTTCTACTACCATAGTACATTATCGATACCCATATAAACTGATCACAGCATATCCTTTGCTGTTGCAACCCTAAAATTGAGCTGAGCTCCTAGCACATAATAGGTATTCACAACACAAATTTATCGAATGAATGCAAGTTGCTTATAGGATCTGCCATGGTAACTAAACTGGGAGCAGCCTGAAAGCAAAATAAAAGTAAATACGTAGATGGCACCTCTATATACCAAGGGCTGTTCCAAGTGCTTTACATATACTAACTTACTTATTCCTTATAACAACCCTATGAAGTATATGCTATTCCCTCCAATTTCATGGATAAGAAAACAGGCACAGAAAAGTGATGTGCCCAAGGTCACCCACCTAGAAAGTGGCAATAGCAGAATTGGAAGGCCAAATCCATGCTGATTTTATAACCTGTCCTAATGTGCCCAAAGCACATTGCAGACACACAATAAAACCTTTCAATGAGTAGTACAAATTTGAGATTTCATTAGCACTATCTTATGGGTGCGAGGCTTCTTGAAGACTCAATTTTGTAATCTCTGGTAGCTTGCAATTTCTCATGATGGAAAACATCATTTATTTTTTTTAAAAAAGTAGAATAATGACTTCAGGTTAAAAAAGAAGATTTTCGAAAATCTTCACTGTGAAAGGCGATTTCTTTCAAAAGACATAACTTCGCAAAATGTAAAGGAGGGGGTCGACTTGTTCATACTAAATAATGCCCACTCAGGAGGGGAACTAAGTTGTAGCTTCCCATCCTTCCAGGCATTCCCATACCAGCTTCCCCAAATCCTGCAGTAGCCTCTCCAAAGGTGACCCTCCCCCATTCACACAGCAGGTTTTGAAACCTGACTCCACCAGGCAACCAAAGCCGAACTCTGCAGTGCCCTGAGCTGGCCTCTCCTTACCCACGAACCCAACAGAGCACCATTGGACGGTGGGGTGGGTGACTACTTTGGGGGGTACTTTAACTTTTCAAAGTGTTTTATTCGAGAGTAAGACCCAGAGGGCCCACCCACCTACCCATCACGGGGTCTCACGCCTCCGCCCGCCAACCTCTAGCTCCCCGCGGACTAGTGAATGGACCATGAGGTTGGGACGCAGCCGCCCCGGAGGCGGGAAAAGCCTTGGGGCAAACTGGGCCTGCCCTCGGAAAAGCCCACGAGAGCGCAGCCAGGGCTCCGCGAAGCCGGGAGGGGGCGATGACAGCTGTGACCCGGCTCCACGCTCTCACCTTGAACATGTTGCTGGCAGAGGTGGCTCCGGCGGGGTCACCCCGGCCCCGGCCCCGCCCACTACGGAGAGGCGGCTACGGCGGCCGGGTAGGGCCCTGATTCCTCTGTCCCCTAGTGGGCCGTGGGGCGGGTGACTGCCGTACAGCCAATTCGATCCCGCGAAGGATTAGTTCGGAAGCCTGGTCTCGGAGCAGCGTCGCTGAGCCGTAGCGCGTAGCTCCTCAGGCCTCGAGCGAACGCAAGCCCCGCCTCCCGGAGACTCCTCCCCTGCGGCGGTCGTTGCTAGGCGGCAGGAAAGCGCCAGCTCAGTGTGGGCGGCCCGCGGGGGCGCCGGGAGGGAGGTGCCGGGCGTCGCACCGCGCTGGGAATCGGCCTTCGCTGCCGTGATTGGGCGCCCAGAGGCGTGGGCTGGGAATCCTGTGCGCCGAGGCCGCCGGGCGGGGGCGCTCGGCTGGTCTCGGGCGGCTTTGAAAGTCTCACAGCCGGAAGCAGCCGACCCCTGGGGCCTGGAATTATCTCACAAAAGGTTTTCAGATTTTTTTTTTTTTTACTGTGGGCTGGAAGTTCCTAAGGTTTTGAATTTAATCTAATTCGCCATGTCCTTTAGTCTCGAAAGGCCCTGGGTTTTTTTTTTTCCCTTTAAAATACTTAAACATATGCCCCTCTCTGGGAATCAGATGTCCCTTAATGCTACTAGAAAAGGCAATAATGAGAATAATTATCTAATTAACAAGAATAGCAAACACTAACACGGTGCTTACTATATGCTCAGCTCTGATCTAAACTCGTTACACATACTCATCTAATCTTTCCGACAACCCAGGTAGGTGAGTACGATTATTATTTTTAATATAGTAGAAGACGAAACCGAGGCACAAAGAACTAATTTGTACAAGGCCACATGGAAAAGTGGGAAGCCTGTGATCTCGCCTAAATAATTGTTATACTGTCTCATAATGGGGGTGTGTTTCATATTTCAATCTGTATTACACGTCCTCACCCCATAGAAAGTGTAAATTCATCCAGGCGAGCATCCGCAAGATTGTGGGGGCTTGTGTGGGGCCGTGTCTCTGCCCTCCAGCCAAAGACCACTGCGAACACATCTGTAGGTGAACAAGTTGGGTTTATTATGTCTCGTTGCTGTGAGGAAAACACGCAACTTGGCACAGCAGGGCATCTCAGTGAGTGCGTGCTAGATTTATTACAAGATTTGGGCTGATTTGCCTGGGGTGGCGCAGTGGGTTAAGGATCCAATTGTCCATCTCAGCTCCGGTCTTGATCTCAGTGTCTTGAGTTCAAGACCCACCTTGGGCTCCACGGTGGCCTTGGCGTTGCAGCCTACTTAAGAAAAAAGATTTGGGCGACGCCTCAGCAGCTCAGGGGCTGAGCGTCTGCCTAAGGCTCAGGGCGTGATCCCGCGGTCCTGGGATTGAGTCCCGCATCCGGCTCCTCACAGGGAGCCTGCCTCTCCCTCTGCCTATGTCTCTGTGTGTCTCTCATGAAAAAATAATATCTTAAAAAGAAAATTAATAAGAAAAAAGATTTGGGCTTTGGTTGGGTGATTTGGGGGCGAATTCAAAGAAGCCAGGCTTTGCCCTAGATTGGGTGTTGTTAGGAAGCCAGGATAGCACCAAAGCCAAGCTGTGAGTGCCAGGCCAACTCCCAGATGTTAAGGGCTGCTTTTTCTCTTTCTCGGGACAATTGTATATGCCAAGCCGTCCCCATTCCTATACCCAAGGACAAATACTGAGAAGACTCTGAAGGCTCTGCATTTGTAATGGAATGTCACATGTGTATAAAAGTGTGAAGTATAGTGATAAATTAGGGCAGGAGTTCTTAAATCTTTTTTTTTCCCCAAGATTTATTTATTTGAAAGAGAAAGAAAGCAGGGGGAGGTGCAGAAGGAGAAAAGTTTCAAGCAGACTCCTGGCTGAGTATGGATTGTAGTGGGGCTTGATCCCAAGACCAATGAGATCATGACCTGAGCCAAAAGCAAGAGTTGAATGCTCAACCTGACTGAGCCACCCCAGGGCAGGAATTCTTGATTCAAGGGGTATATGAACTTAGATGGGGAAAGAAATTACAACTTTATTTGCGCTCATCTCTAACTGAACTTCAGCATTTCTTTCAATTTTAGTGTAGGCAATAAAGCACAGAAGTAACAGCAGTATCTGGGACTTTGTCATCGGTAGAAAGCACAGATATTTTCATACAATGTTACACTCATGGCAGATTTCTTGACATACCATTTCTGCTCATTACCAATTCACAAATACAGGAGTTATTAGAGCTCTCATTTTATTTAATGCATAAAGAGGATAGATTCCTATAATTTTGTTTTTGGAAGTATTTTGCAGTGATTTCAATATAGAGTCCTTTGTGATCCTATGTGTTTTATGTTATGCATTTAAAAAACGTAATTCTTGGTAGTCGTCCATTAGAGTCCATCCATAGAAGTCCACAACACCAAAAGAAAATTAAGAGCCCCCGCTTTAGTAGAAGAGACTAAGCAGTGAGTAAGAATTTGGGAACCGCATCCAAATCAGAGTAAGGCATCAAAAGATAGAAAACCAAGGATAGAATCAGTTCATTTAGTACACACCCTTTTAACTTTACCACAAGGGGAACTGAGCTACCAAAAGGTTAAGGAACTTGCCTTAAGTCCCACAGCTATTCCATGATAAAACTAGGACAGAAATTTCTTAGACAAGCATGTAAAAATTCTCCACTCTCACTAGACATGGAGGATTCCATAGTTAGCAAGATGTTTCTGGCCCTCAATGAGCCTTGTTGGGGTGACAGCCAAGAAAACAGATTATGGCATAATATGAGAAGTACTATAAAAGAAAAACATGTACAGTATTATGGGACCTTGGAGATAGGGTGAACAGTTGTATGAAAAAGAGGATGGAAAACGTCAGAGAAGAGGCATCAATTAGCTGGGGTCTTGAAAGCTGAATTGATGTTTGCTGGCAGTAGGAAAGAAGAAAGAGAAGAGAGAAGAAATGGTGCGTCAATGGCACAGAGTTGAAAAACACTGATTTTGGTGAGAAGTTCTTGTTCTCACAGAGTCTAGAAGACGAATGCTGGTGAAAGTTGGTATTTTGATATTTGAAAGAGTAGACTGTAGATTGAGAAAAGTCTAGAACACCATTCTAAGGAGTCTGGACTTCAATGTGGAGGAAATGAAGTGTCCCTGAAAGACTTTAAGCTGGGAAGTAAGAAGGCTGGATTATTGCTCTACAGAATTAACTCCAGCTGCAATGTGGAGGAGGGCCAGAAGGACACAGACTAGAGACTGAGGGACCAGTTAGAAGACTATGGATAGATGCACTTGTCTTTTCCACTTCCCTCAGAATATTTTTAGTACCTAAAGCATGTAAACTGAAAAAAAATAAAAATAAAAATAAAGCATGTAAACTGTAAGCAACATTAAGACATCCATGGTGCCTTCCTTTGTAAAGGATTCTGGAAATAGCCCAACAATCATATGGCACTTGAGCCTTGTCCAAACGGTGCAGTAATATAGACTATGACCTCAAATGCTGAATCTATGTACTTTCAGAATACTTCATCATAAGGAAAATGAAGCACTCCTCAAAGGTGTCAGTTAGTGGTGTTCCAAAGTCAGATAATCCACGCTCAGGAAAAGACTACAAAATGCATTTGTCAAATATTGGAAAGAGAAAAGCAGTACAACAGTAAGTAGCCATCTTTCAACCTTTATCATTTTCCACAACTGGTCAGTTTCCATACCGTATTTGCCCAGCTAACATCAAACACTTTTTGTTTTGTAAATTAGAGGGCTTTTTATGTGTTTTAAAATTACTTTTGGGAAAAAAATAAATAAATAAAATTACTTTTGAATTGAATAGTAATTATTATAATTAGTTTTTCATAATTTGCAAAGCATGTTAACACACATTTCTTTGATCCTGACAACTCTGTGAAGCAGTCTTATTATTACATTTTATAAGTGAGGAAGCAGCAACTGGGAGAAGGTAAGTGATTTGCATAAGGTTAAACAGCTAATAAATGGCATCATCTAGGAGTTAAAGCTTTGTTTCTGTAAGTCAAGCCTTTTCTTTTTGTTTGTTCTATCTGTTAAATAGGACTTATTTTTAAAATTAAATTCAAGTAATTAACATGTAATATGTTATTGGTTTCAGGGGTAGAGGTCAATGATTCATCAGTCTTATATAATGCCCAGTGCTTGGTAATATAGACTATGCCCTCCTTAATGTCCATCACCCAGTTACCCTGTCCCCCACTTCCCTCCAGCTATCCTCAGTTTGTTCCCTATGGTTAAGAGTTTCTTATGGTTTGTTTCCCACTCTGATTTCATCTTGTTTTATTTTTTCCTCTCTTCCCCTATAATCCTCTGTTTTGTTTCTTAAATTTTACATATGAGTGAAATCATATGATAACTATTTTTCTCTGATTGAGTTATTTCACTTAGCATCATACCCTCTAGTTCCATCCACATTGTTACAAATGGCAAGATTTCATTTTTTTTGATGGCTGAATAGTAGTCCATTGTGTGTGTGTGTGTGTGTGTGTGTACATCTTCGTTATCTATTCATCTGTTGATGGACTTCTGGGCTCTTTCCATAGTTTGGCTATTGTGGACATTGCTGCTATAAACACTGGGGTATGGGTGCCCCTTCAGATCACTACATTTGTATCTTTGGAACAAATGCCCAGCAGGGCAGTTGGTGGGTCATGGGGAGCTCTATTTTCAACTTTTTAAGGAGCCTCCATACTCCTCTTTTCCAGAGTGACTGCACCAGCTTGCATTCTCGCCAACCGTGTAAGAGGGTTCCCCTTTCTCTGCATCCTTGCCAACATCTGTCATTTCCTGACTTGTTTATTTTAGCCATTCTGACAGGTGTGAGGTGGTATCCCATTGTAGTTTTGATATCTATTTCCCTGCTGGTAAGTGATGTGGAGCATTTTTTTCATGTGCCTGTTGGCCATTTGTATGTCTTCTTTGGAGAAATATCTTTTCATGTCTTCTGCCCATTTCTTGATTGGATTACTTGTTTTTTGGCTGTTGAGTTTGATAAGTTCTTTATAGATTTTGGATACTAGCCCTTTATCTGATGATAAGACATTTGCAGATATCTTCTCCCATTCTGTCAGTTGTCTTTTGGTTTTGTTGACTATTTCTGTTGCTGTTCAAAAGCTTTTTATCTTGATGAAGTCCCAATAGGTCATTTTTGCCTTTATTTCCCTTGGTCTTTAGAGACATGTCTGGCAAGAAGTTCCTGTGGCCGAGGTCACAGAGGTTGCTGCCTGTTCTCCTCTAGGACTTATTTATTTATTCATGAGAGACACACAGAGAGGCAGAGACACGGACAGAGGGAGAAGCAGGCTCCATGCAGGAAGCCTGATGTGGGACTTAATCCCAGGACTCTAGGATCATGCCCTGAGCTGAAGGCAGATGCTCAACCACTGAGCCACCAAGGCATCCGTCCTCTAGGATTTTGATGGATTCCTGTCTCACATTTAGGTGTTTCATCCATTTTGAGTCTATTTTTTTTGTGTATTGTTTATGGAAATGGTCCAGTTTCATTCTTCTGCACTTGGCTGTCCAATTTTCCCAACACCATTTGTTAAGAGATTGTCATTTTTTTCCATTGGAAAAAATACTCTGTCAAAGATTGGTGACCATAGAATTGAGAGTCCATTTTTGGGTTCTCTGTTCCATTGATCTATGTGTCTATCTTGGGCCAGTACCATACTGTCTCGATGATTACAGCTTTGTGATATCGCTTGAAGTCTGGAATTGTGATGCCACCAGTTTTGGTTTTCTTTTTCAACATTCCTCTGGCTATTTGGGGTCTTTTCTGGTTCCATACAAATTTTAGGAGTATTTGTTCCAGCTCTGTGAAAAAAGTTGATGATATTTTGATAGGGATTGCATTGAATGTATAGTTTGCTCTAGGTGGCATAGGCATTTTAATGATATTTTTCTTCCAATCCATGAGCATGGAATGTTTTTCCATTTCTTTGTGTCTTCCTCAATTTCTTTCATGAGTGTTCTATAGTTTTCAGAATACAGATCCTTTAGTCAGACCATTTCTACTCTACATCTTATAGTCTGCATTTTGCCAGCCAATGGTGACATTATACAGGAGTATCTTTCTTCACATGTAGCTTTGTGAGGGGTAAGGATGGGATTGGGGGGTTTTGGAGAGAGTAATCCCTACAATCTGCTGAGATGTGAGCAAAAGTAAAATGATTCTCTGACCTGACTGGAATGAGCCTGGTTCAAGCCACGATCAGAGAAGGGGGTTTCTTTTTTAGGGCCTGGTTGTCTGTTCCCAGAAAAGAATTGGACCTACTGTAACTTTGAGTATTCTATGTTCTATTTTCATAGCACTTGGACTAGTTGGACAGTGTTTTTAAGAACTAACTATAATGAAATCATTTTAGGTCATAGATGTTTTTAGAAAGCAAATTTGTCTCTTCCTACGTTTTTAGTTATAATATATATGCCTTTTGCTGATAAAGTTTTAGCTGGGACTTTTTTTATCTCAAGGGAAAGATTCTCAAATATCTTATATCCTCATTCTGACTAGATTCTGCAAATGGCCAGTTCCAATTACCACATCCAAATGTTCCTTATCAGATCAGTCTTAGGGTGGAGAATGGGAGGGTACAGGGGGAAGAAGCATAAATTGAGTTCCCCAAGATTTTAGGAAAATGAAAACTACTTCACTAATCTTAATCTTTTGTTTTTCTTCTCATAACTAATAGAGCTATTTCAGCTCGAAGGATACAGAGAGCTTGGTTATCTCATGTGAACAAAAGAATATTTAAACTCCTAAAGCACACAGTTTGTGCAGCGGTATGTATTTTGCTTTTTGTTTTCTCTGACACATCTAATTACTTATCAGCTAAAAGGTCTGTTAAGTAAAGATAAAGTATGTAACCTTTTAAAAATCTCTTCTATATGAATATAATAGTGCATGGGATTCTGAGATTGCTCCTTTGTTTATCCCTAAATGAATATTTCTGGATTTATTTGTAAATAATGTGGGTGACTGTTATTTCCTTTTCTGAAACTAAAATGATGTTTTTAAAAAATCAATTTCTTATTTGAAGATGTGGGACACTGATCTTCCAACCAGAAAAATCTCTGAATTAAGTGCCCTTACCTTCCACCCAGCAGTTTTACTTCTAAGAATCCATTCTCCAATATATGTACAACTTCATTGCAGTATTGTCTGTAACAGCAAAGAAAGTAAACCATAAAATGTCCACCAATGGGATGCTGGTTAAATAAGTATTGGTGCTTTCATAGTGTTTAACCTTGCAGCCTTATATGTGACTCTGCAATATAAAGATAGCGAAGATATTTCATTAAGGAAAAAAGCAAATATAGAATAGTATGAATAATATGGTCCTATTTAAGCAAAAACAAAAACCTCCAAAGGTGCATATCCCCTCACCCCTCTGAAAAACAACTCTGGCAATGCTAATAGAGTATATAAAGCTTTCCTTCATATAGTACCAAGTATTCTAATAAAATCACCCATGATTACAATAGTTTATAATTAGTAATAGCCACATTAAGGGAATTTTAGCAGCTCTGAAAAAAATCATGAAGTCTGAGCAGTTTATACACTTCTTCACCATCTGACCCACAGATGCATTTCTGATGCTAGTAAAAGCGGAATACCTCAGAGAAAACCCGCTCAGTAAAGAGGTGACATTTCAGGTCCTTTACCCATTGTCTTCACATATGGAACTTGCATTTAATTATCATAATACTGATTTTGTTATAACTTTAGATGTTTATAGTAACAGAAAGAAGGAAATTAATTCTTTTTTAAAAATCTCTTATCCTAACACTTTAAATTCCTACCTGACATTAATAATGCTTTGTCATTTTAAAAGCCCTTTGGTGTACATTTTTATGTGATTGTCATTGGCATAGAGGTTGGCAGGGTCATGTTGGGGGTGGAGTGGGGGCTTTATTTTTTTAACTTGCAAACACTATTTATTTATTATTATTTATTTATTTATTTATTTATTTATTTATTTATTGGTGTTCAATTTGCCAACATATAGAATAACACCCAATGCTCATCCCATCAAGTGCCCCCCTCAGTGCCTGTTACCCAGTCATCCCCACCCCCCGCCCACCTCCCTTTCTACCACCCCTTGTTCGTTTCCCAGAGTTAGGAGTCTCTCATGTTCTGTGTCCCTCTCTGATATTTCCCACTCATTTTTTCTCCTTTCGAGTGGGGGCTTTAGAGTCAAATAGATCTCTGTTTGTATCTTGGCTTGCCCATGTACTACCTGTATGCCTTTGAATAAGTTACAGACACTCCCAGAGTCTCAGCCTGCTCATTGGAAAGATGGGAATGGGGATCCCTGTGTGGCGCAGCGGTTTGGCGCCTGCCTTTGGCCCAGGGCGTGATCCTGGAGACTCGGGATCGAATCCCACGTCGGGCTCCCAGCGCATGGAGCCTGCTTCTCCCTCTGCCTATGTCTCTGCCTCTCTCTCTCTCTCTCTCTCTCTCTCTCTCTGTGACTATCATAAATAAATAAAAATTAAAAAAATATTTAAAAAAAAGGAAAGATGGGAATGATAATATTTGAATAATACTGCTGAGCTGTAAGGATTAAATGAAGTTATGTATATAAGGCATGTAACAGAATATGCGGTATATAAAAGGTGCTTAAAAACTAGTAGCATTACTATTACCATCCTCATTTTACAGTTATTTTTTTTAGATTTTATTTATTTATTCATGAGAGACACACAGAGATAGGCACAGACACAGGCAGAGGGAGAAGCAGGCTCCATGCAGGGAGCCTGACGTGGGACTCAATCCCGGGTCTCCAGGATCACACCCTAGGCCAAAGGTGGCGTTAAACCCCTGAGCCACCCAGACTGCCCATTTTACAGTTATTTATTCAATATCAAATACTTGCTAAACCTGCTGTGTTCCAAGGACTGTACTAGATGCTAGGAGTATGGTAAGGAAGAAAGACATGATCAGTACTTTCACGCCACTTACAGTCTAGTAGAAGACACAGATTAATTCATAGTTAGTTATAATACGTGGTGAAAAGTGTTGTCATAGGGAAATACCAGTGCCTGGGATGTCAAGAAGGGACACCCACTCAAGCTTGAAGGCTAGAAAGATAAAGTAATTGATTCAAGATTACACAGGTACTAAATGGAGGAGCCCAGACCAGAACCCAGGTCTTCAGAACTCCAAGCCTGGTGCACTGTTCACTTTACCATGCCACCTCTGTTATTCTCAGTAAGTTACACCTGGACAGAGTACCATTTTCCATTTATAGCATCATCATCTATTTCAGGAATATTGTGTGACACGTGAAATACTGAAGAAAGTGAGCCCCTTAGAAGCTGAGCTTGTGAAAGATCCTAGCATGAAGTATAAAGTTAGATTCAGGTAATATTTCTATACTGGTTTATTTCAAGAAGCACTTAGTTAAAATGAAAAAAAACCTTATAAATGTATTTTCTTTTTTTTTTAAAAGATTTTATTTATTCATGCGAGACACACAGAGAGAGGCAGAGACATAGGCAGAGGGAGAAGCAGGCTCCCTATGAGGAGCCCGGTGTGAGACTCGATCCCAGGACTCTGGGATCACAACCCGAACTGAAGGCAGACGTTCAACCACTAAGCTACCCACGTGCCCCTAGAAATGTATTTTTTTAAGTCCTCATAAGTTCTCAGGGTTGTTCTTAAATTTACATTTATTGTGTGAGGAAACTGAGGTATGACTCTTGGGCTAAAAGTTGGCTTGAGAGTGGCTCATCTCCCATGATGTGTCCAGTCTGACACGTGAATGAGAATAGTTTTGAGCACACACACCCCAATGTGGCTCTTTCATCTCTGTAATCGATTTCATTACCCATTCTTTTTTTTTTCTTAAAGATTTTATTTTTTTATTCATGAGAGACACAGAGAGGCAGAGACATAGGCAGAGGGAGAAGTACGCTCCTCGCAGGGAGCCTAATGTGGCCCTCCATCCCAGACCCTGGGATCACGCCCTGACCCGAAGGCAGACACTCAACTGCTGAGCCACCCAGGCATCCCTTCGTTACCCATTCTTTCTGTGCTCTGGCATAGACTTTACCCTGCATGCAGGAAACTATGAGAATAATCTTAAGTAGAGGAGGAAAGTAACTAAGCCCTAACCCTGATGCCAAACGACTAATTTTTGGTCTTTATTTCAGATTCAGTGGTGAAACATTTCCACCTTTCATCGTATTTAAAATTTTTCTGCATACTGAAGGCCATGGTAACAAGTATTTCAATGGAAAAAATTTTTTAAAGCCATCAAGTGAGGTGATGTTTCATGATGTACACTTTATGTTACTTTATTTTTTAAAAGATTTTTGTTGGGATCCCTGGGTGGCGCAGCAGTTTGGCGCCTGCCTTTGGCCCAGGGCACGATCCTGGAGGCCCGGGATCGAATCCCACATCGGGCTCCCGGTGCATGGAGCCTGCTTCTCCCTCTGCCTGTGTCTCTGCCTCTCTCTCTCTCTCTCTCTCTGTGTGACTATCATAAATAAATGAAAATAAAATAAAAATTAAAAAAATAAAATAAAGATTTTTGTTTATTTATGAAAGAGGGAGACAGAGATAGAGCATGAGTGGGGAGGAGAGGGAGAAGCAGGCTCCTCTCCCCAGGATCATGACCTAAGCCAAAGGCAGACGCTTAACCTACTGAGCCACCCAGGCACCTCCATTTTATGTTACTTTAGCTTCTTAATATCTGCGTAGTATCTGAATTGCATTCAAAGTATACAGACTAAGTGATTTCACCATTGAACATCCCAGCAGCCAGGTAGCATTTTTTTTAATCTCATGTTTCAGGGTGTCTCTGTTTATTAGCTAAAAAAATATTTGGAATGAATTACTGATAGAGGCCCCAAAAATACTTATCAGTTTTCTTTGTATTAAAATTTTGGTTTAAAAAAATAAAAATAAATAAAATAAAATGTTGGTTTGTGGGATGCCTGGGTGGCTCAGCGGTTGAGTGTCTGCCTTCAGCTCAGGGCATGATCCTGGGATCCAGGATCGAGTCCCACATCGAGCTCCCTGTGAGGGAAGGGCCTGCTTCTCCCTCTGCCTGTATCTCTGCCTCTCTTTCTCTTTCTCTCATGAATAAATAAATAAATCCTTAAAAATAATAAAATTTTGGTTTGTTCATGAGAGACTCTTTATTTGGTATATTTTTTATTGGAGTTCGATTTGCCAACATATAGTATAATACCCAGTGCTCATCCCATCAAGTGCCCCCCTCAGTGCCCGTCACCCAGTCACCCCATCCCCCTGCCCACCTCCCCTTCCACAACCCCTTATTCATTTCCCAGAGTTAGGAGTCTCATGAGAGACTCCTAACTATGGGAAAGAAACTGAGGGTTGCTGGAAGGCAGGTGGGTGGGGGGATGAGGTAACTGGGTGACTGAGGTAACTGAGGACACGTGATGTGATGAGCACTGGGTGTTACATGCAACTGATGAATTAGTGAACTCCAAATCTGAAACTAATGATGTTCTATATGTTGGCTAATTTAATTTAAATTAAAAAAAGAAAAAGAAAATTTTGGTTAGTAATGGACTAAAGTGGCCTATTAGGGCTTTTAAATTATGCAGACCATTTGATGCCATTTTATTTGTTTTAATGGTATTTTATCATTGTTTCTTTAATTCTGGTAGCATATTTAGAGAAAAGTGAGCTGGACTATTGAAAATGAACTTTTAAAATATTTTTCTTTATATGAGTTCTCATACTTTTAAGTTTCAAGTATATTTACCATAATTGTGTCTACAGGATAGGAATCACCTGAAAATATTGTTAAACAATATAGTTTCTGATTCAGTAAATCTGGGATAGGACATGAGAGTCTGCATTACTAACCGGTTCCCAGGTGTTGCTGCTACTGCTGGTTCTTGGACCCCACGTTTAAATCTTTTTTTTTTTTTTTTTTATGATAGTCGCACAGAGAGAGAGAGGCAGAGACACAGGCAGAGGGAGAAGCAGGCTCCATGCACTGGGAGCCTGACGTGGGATTCGATCCCGGGTCTCCAGGATCGCGCCCTGGGCCAAAGGCAGGCGCTAAACCACTGCGCCACCCAGGGATCCCGGACCCCACGTTTAATAGCAAGGATCTGCAATGCTACTACAGCATAGATTTTGCTCCTTTGGCCCTTATACATGACTATAATTGAGAAAAAATGCATGCATTCTCATTCTCAGCCTTTCATAAATCATACATCAAAGGTTATTTTCCTGTAGCCTTCTGGAGATATTTTATTTGAAAATATGAAAAGTATGGCCCATCTTGAAAAGTATGGCCCATCTGAAGTCATCAGTAATGGTATGTGTTCAGAATAGAAGACCACATAGCCTGGGAGTTTCTGATCAGATCCAGGATGTACAGCATTTATTCTCTGAAGAATGTTAGAAAAGAAAAAGAGACTGCCTTTCTCTGTGTTCTCAGGCAACGTCAGAGAACATTTCATTCAGTTTCAGGATATATCAAATGGACTATGTGTTTTCATATGGAATATGGTGTTCCAGAGTCATTAATATTTGTTCATTTATATAGAATGACTTCACATGCAAAAGTTGATATTTATCTTACATTCAGGGAATAAATTCATGCCACATTTATGTACAGAATAAGCTTATCATACCTATAAAATATCATCAATTGTTGCTTTTCTGAGATTACATGATGAGACTTTTCCAGGAACAGAAATTCTCCTGGGTCTGCTCCCAGTGGCCCCTGCTGTCTGCAGGCTAGAGCAAATGAGAAACTTAGAAGCCATGACTGGAAAGGACTCTGTGTATATTAAAACTCATTAAAATGCTGCATAATAACTTCAGTTTTTATTTAAATTACAAAGTAACTTGGGGAAAAAGGAAATAGCACAGAGATTTTTTTAAAAAAGGAAACTATGCCTCATGCCTTTCTGTGCTGTGACTTTCACTCGCCTGGGGTTATCACTGTTAATAGTTTATTGTGTATCCTTCATTTTTTTGCCCATAAAAATACACAAACATGTTTTTAAAATTTTTTGTTTTTATTATGAAAATGTAATAACACTAGTTTGAGTATTTCACTAAACATTCTGAGAGGATTTAAATGATCAGAACATGAAAGAACAGTTTAGGATTCCTTTTTGAGCTACATAACAAACTCTGGTAACACCTGGATTCATGGTTGATAGAAAACCTATAGAATTATTCTTACTATAAGTTTACGCCAGTCCTTTGAATATAGAAATTGTGTGTTTAGCAAGCCGATCCAACTTTCCTAAGTTCATTTCTTTCTTTTTGTTTATTTATTTATTTTATTTATTTTTAAAGATGTTATTTATTTATTCATGAGAGACACACAGAGAGGGAGGCAGAGACATAGGCAGAGGGAGAAGCAGGCACCATGCAGGGAGTCTAACGTGGAACTCGATCCCAGGACTCTGGAATCAAGCCCTGAGCCAAAGGCAGATGCTTAACCGCTGAGCCACCCAGGCGTCCCTCTTTCTTTTTTTTTTTAAAGATTTATTTTTTTAAAGTAATCTCTATACCCATCTTGGGGCTTGAACCCACAACTCCAAGATCAAGAGTTTCACACTCTACCAACTGAGCCAGCCAGGCACCCCCCACTTATTTCTTGGTATGAAATAAATAAGTCAGTTTTAGTTCAGACATATAATCTAAGTTCACTTATGAAGAAGGGAGTTTCACAGTTTTGTTGTTGTTCAGTCTTTTCCCTGGTACTTATTTCCGTTTCTAGTTTCATTTCCTTATCATTTCCCAGTAGCGTTTCTCATGTGTTCACACTTCGCGCGTGCATGTGCGCGGGCACACACACACATACACAAAGTGAAAACAAGTGAAAAGATATAGAATAGCCTAAGCCATTTTAGAGAAGAACAAAGATTTACATTAACTGATTTCAAGAACTAAAAAGCTGCAATGATCCCACAGTGTTGTGATGGCCTAAAGACAGACATGTAAATCAATGAGATAGAATAGAGAATTCAGAAATACACCCACTCATAGATGATCCATTGATTTTCATCAAATGTCCCAAGTCAGTTCAAATGGTGCTCGAACAATTGGATAGCCAAGTGTACAAAAGAGAGATCTCATTTCAGTTACCTACTTCGATGATCTATTTTCAGAGCAATGCTTATTTACAGAGGGTTGTCACTATAGTTCATCCTCCAACTATATTTAGAATATTCTAAAGCCTTGCTACTCAAGAGTGTGGTCTACAGACCCACAGCACTGGCATTCCCTGGAACTTACTAGAAATTCAGACTATCAAGCCCCTCCCCAGACCCACTGAATGAGCACCTGCATTTTAACAATCCCCCCAGATGATCCTAGGCACAATCTAGTTTGACAAGCACTGTCTTACAGGTGCCCCCCCCCCCCCGCGCGCGCGCGCGCGCACACACACACACACACACAGCGTGGCCTAGAATGCCTCTGGGTAATTGACAGTTCTTAAACATGAACATCCAGCAACCATTAGTTTAAATTGAAGATCCCTGTTCTTTTTGAGGATTAGGCATTTATGTAAAAAGAAAAAACACCATTATTAATAATAACTGCCCTCATTGAGCACCATTGAGTCCTGTGTTAAACACTTTGTGTGCATTATCATTTAATTCTCATAAACTCTAGAATGTAGATTCTGTTATCTTCAGTTTTAAAAGACCAAGTAACTTGCTGAAGGTCTCAAGCTAGAAAGGGAAGGAACCGATATCAAAACCCAGTGATCCTGACTCCAGAGCCTGTGCTCATAATTAACCACTCCTGAGCCAGGACGCCTGCTAAATATGTTCCCTTATACAGGCTCCTGATAACTCCAGCACAGTCCATGTTATTCCCATTCAGCCTGTGAGGAAGCCAGGACTTGGAGAGGCTTGCCAGGGGCAGAACTGACACTTGAATACTTCTCCATCTATCCACTGCACTGTGCACACTTCGAGGTTGAAACCACACCAGCAGCTGTGCTGGTTTCATTAATTCTGAACTCACGTATAATCGAACTGTTCCAAACTGAGAAACCCTGTTCCTGTGCAGAATACCAGTTCATGCTACCTTCGTGAGAATTTCCAGCTGGGCGGGGACGTGACTTGAGATAGTCGCTTGACAAGGGCAGGTGTGGATCTAGGCCAGCATGTACCTGTGGGGCCGTGGGGGCTTCTGGGCCACAGTGATGCCAGATATCAGGGGAAGTGTCAAATTTAGAGATGCCTGCCTTTGACCTTTTGTTTGAGTCACCCACTAAGAATGGAGCCTGCCTTTTTTTTTTTTAAATGTCTATTTATTTATGATAGTCACAGAGAGAGAGAGAGAGAGAGAGAGAGAGGCAGAGACAGGCAGAGGGAGAAGCAGGCTCCATGCACCGGGAGCCCGACGCGGGACTCGATCCGGGGTCTCCAGGATCACGCCCTGGGCCAAAGGCAGGCGCCAAACCGCTGCGCCACCCAGGGATCCCTTGGATCCTGCCTCTTGAATCCTAGTCTGATTGGCTGCTGTCCTGGGCTCTTCGCCTCATTTCGGCCCTTCCCTTTCACCTGGGGCTGGGCACTTCTTTCCCATCCCTTCCTACCCAGAAGTACTTTCCTGAAGCTAGCCATACAGCAGATGCCTGAGAAAGAAAGAATGGCCTCCATGCTGGCCATTGGAGGGCAAACTTTTTTCAAACCCCTGTCGCAAGTGGGCAGCGAACCCTCCCCGTGCTGCCCGGCATAGGGATTTTTGGCTGGATCCTGGAATGGGCCTCACACAGCTGAGCCACACAGCTGAGGCAGTGTACAAATAAGGAAACCGGGGCTTGGAGAGGTTGTGGGTGGTGGCTGAGTGGAGTAGAGTGGGGAGGGACTGGCAAGAAATACCCTTACTAAGTAGCTTGAGCTAAAGTAAAATACAGTTATATCTAAAGAAATTCTCAAAGCAGAAATTATACAGCTTTCAGATGTGTTCACTGTATAGTTTATTTGCTTTTACCTTTAGCGTCACCATGAGGGTAGTTAATGAGAACCCACGGGAAATTAATTACAAGAAAGCATAATGGTGACACGTGCCAATACTGTCTTTTCTTTAGATGCGTAGTATATAAAGAAACTAATGAAATGGAAAACAGAGATGATCTGCCTAAAGGAAGGTTCATCACAGAAACTGTTTCTGTCCCTTCCATGTAGTACATTAGGAATAAAACTACCACCATTTGAATATTCTTTAATTTTCCATGTATGTCCATGTGCTAAGCTTTGAAATTAGAAAAATAAATAAAAAAGGAATATTCTCAATAACAAAAGTGAAAATTGAAATGGAAACTATATCCTCCAGGCTCATTGTCGTATTGTGTGTTAAGTAAAAAGAACAGATTCCAAATTCTGATCTCATCTCAAGCGGCCTCACATCAACATTATAACCTGGAGTTCCCATGTTTTCACAAATACACATTCTGAGATTCAGAGGGAAAGAGAAACTGATCTGGAATCCAAAGATATTTGAATTTTATTCTACGCCAGTCTCCATTCTCATAAGCATATGCTTTGTGGCCAGAAGCATAGATATGTAATATAAATATGTGTTAGAAGAGTCAGCACATACTTATGGGGGGTGGGAACGAGGGTGGGGAGTACTTAAGTCTCTACTCAGTCTATGTATAGCTCTTAGCAAAGGATGGGCGTATGTGGAACGGTATGGTACAGACAGGGCCAGATGAGATTTGGGCCTCCATATTTTCTGGCATTCTTCTACCTCTGCCCTCTCAGGTATTTTCCTTTAGTACAAAATGCCAGCGTTTTGGAGAGAAAAAAAAATGCTTCACTACTCTTTGGCCACAGAGAATGAAGTCTGAAGGAGAGGAAGGTCTAAGCAATGTGAAACATACATGTTTCCATTTGGGGGTGAGGTATTAACTAGCGCATAAAAGAGAGTTGGCCCAGTAACACCTTTCACTGCAGTTCCTAGGGCAACCTGTTTAATAACCAAGGAAGTTTTCTCTGCCTTGACAGCATGAATGACGCTATAGATTTGTTTTGTTAAGGGAAAAGAATGTTTTTTAAGAGGGGAAAAAACATTTTTAAAACACTGTGGTTCTCTGAGGGTTGGAGACTCAGCTACATTACATTTTAAAACTATGTAGATATGGTTACGGAAACGAATTTTAAGCGGTTTAAAAACTCTTATACAATCTTTTCTTTGTAAATACAGTCTTTTTATTGAATAGCAAGCTGCTAGAAGAAAGGAACAGTATTTGATGTGTTTGTCAGAAGAAATATGTAAAGTGTGCACTGATAATTATTGCTATTATACTACTGTTTTAAAAATATGTTTTCTATTCTCTTTATAGGCAGTGGCTGATGCTTGCAAAATTATGGGGAAAAAGAAGTTTTACCATCAGGTTATGGAAGATGAATGTCTTTTCCAGAAGTTCAAAATAACTGATAAAATAGATATTGTCACCCTGAAAGACTACATGCAAGTAAGGAATTGAGATTTAGATATTAGAAACAACAATTTTTAAAAAAGCTTTCTGTGGGCACCTGAGTGGCTCAGTTGGTTAGGCGCCTGCTTTCAGCTCAGGTCCCACATCGGGCTTCCTGCTCATTAGGGAGCCTGCTTCTCCCTCTGCCCCTTACCCTTCTCGTGCTCTCAAATAAATAAGTAAAATCTTTTAAAATAAATAATCTTTAAAAACTCTTCTGACCTTATCCTCCAAGAGGAAAGGATCATACATTTTTTCACTATAGAAAAATAAGCATAATATAAAATTTGCCATCTTAAATGGTATAATTCAGTGACATTAAGTATATTCACAGTGTTGTTCAGACACCACCACTATCTAGTTCCTGAACTTTATCACCCCAATAGGAAACCTCCCTTGTATTAAGCTGTCACTCCCTGTCCCTCCATCACTCCAGCCCCTATCACTCACTAATCAGCTTCCTGTCTCCCTGAATTTACCTATTCTGGATAGCTTGTATTCATGGAATCATAAAATATTTGGCTCTTTGCATCTGGAGAATGATAGCTAATGAATGTGGCTTTTCTTTTGGGGTTGATGGAAATGTTTTGGAATTAGATAGTAGTGCTATGTAGAGTTAATTTGCTAAATGCACTGAATTGTGTACATTTAAAATGGCTAAAATGGTGAATTTTATATTTTGTGCATTTTATCTTGGTAAAAAGTAAAAAACTCAAGTACGTGTTGCTAAGAGAGTGCATGATGGAGATTTGACCTAGTGAGAAGGGGTTATTATTATTATTTGGGTGCTTTGTGGTACAAGTGACAGATTATTCCCAACCACAGGAGGCTTAAACAGCAAGGGAATTGTACTGTCCCATGTCTGAAGTCTACAAAGAGGTGGGTCTCAGGCCAGCTAATAATACAGCAGCTCAAGGACATCAGGGTCCTCTACAGTGCTCTTGTCTTCCTCCACATGGTAACAAGATGACTATCACATTCTTAACTTCCTTTAAAGTCAGGAACAAGGGGACTCTTAAGCACCATTTTCATTTTTATCTCAAGAAGAAATATCTCTGGGAGTGCTTGGTTGGCTCAGTTGGTGAAGCATCCAATTCTTGATCTCAGCTCAGGTCTTGATCTCAGGGTTGTGAGTTCAAGCGCCCCATGTTGGGCTCCATGCTGGACATGGAGCCTACTTTAAAAAAAAAAAAAAAAGGAAAGAAAGAAAGAAGAGAAAAATCTTTGCCAGAAGTCCCCAACAGACTTCCCCTCAGATCCCATTGATCAGAATCCTAACCTAATTGCTGATAAAGGAAAATGAGATCATTTTCCACCATTGACTTAGAACCATCATGGTTCATGTGCTGGGGCCCTCCTTCCTAGAACACGTGGCTGCTCCATACTTGAAAAAAAAAAAATCAGGGCTCTGGAGGCAAAGAAGAAGTGGGAAATGGTTGATGGGCAGGCAATCAACAATGTGTCACAGCCTCAGTCTGGGGCTGAGCAGGTGCTGTGCCCCAGGCAGAGGCTCTGTGGCAGGAGGAACTGCAGGTCTGTGGAGCTGGAGAAGAGAGAGCAGAGGTTTGGGCAGGCAGCTTGGAGGGCTGGCAAGAGAGCATCAGACAGGCCTTTTGACAATAGCAAGGTATTTTTCTTTTTCTTGATCCTGTGTGCAGGTAGAAGCTGGTGCTTCTTAATGTGTTAAGAAATGAGATGATCTAATCTAATGAGTGAAGGGATCTGTCTGGCTGCAGTGTAGGGAATGGATTAGAGTATAGCAAGAGCCTTCTCCTAGTTTGGATGTTCCTGCTGTATTTCAGGAGAGACGGTGGTATCTTGGCTGAGGGCTGTGAGGCTGGAGACACAAGAGATAATTAGAGAGTAAAAGCAATGGGCCTTGGTGACAGACAGCAAGGCAGGCTAAGGGGAGGTGTCCGGCATGGCTCCTAGGTTCCTGGTTTGCATAATGGATTGGACAGCAGTACTAAGTCAGGAACCTTAAACTAGATACCTGAATAATAATAATAATAATAATAATAATAATAATAATAATAGCAAATGCTGGTGTAGTACCACCTCCTTTTATTCTCACAATAACTCTAAGAGGTAGGTACTATTATTACTGCCATTTTACAAGTTCTAAAAAAACAATGGATACAAAATTTCTGGATAATAATAATAATAATAAATGGCCTTAACTGTCCACTCAGCTAGTTCATTGTGACACATGAAGTTAATGCAGTGCCTTGGAGACTCCCAATTCTGTTTTCTTTCCTTTAGAGTCTTAACCTGGAAAATGAGGGAATTCAACCCTCATTTGAAATAATAGAAATAAGTAGCACTTTGGGATGCCAACTATCTTTGCAAAGGATGTGGCTCACATACTTGGAGCATAGGACTGTGCCAAGGATTGGTGTCTTAGGAAGAAGTCCCCGATAGACATGTTGGGAGAGAGAAGCATGGTGATTGCTGACAATCATTTTATCAATTTATTGAGCCCCTTATGGACACAAGCACTATTGCTGGCTCTTTTTATGTATAGTATATCTCCTTTAATCTTCAAGTTTGTAGATTATGTGACCCTTTAACAGATGAGAAAAATGGAGTTTAATAAGATTTCTTAAAACTTGGGACACCTGAGTGGCTCTGCAGTTAAAGCATCTGCCTTTGGCTCAGGGCGTGATCCCTGGGTCCTGGGATCGAATTCTGATCAGGCTCCCTGCACAGAGCCTGCTTCTCCCTCTGCCTCTATATCTCTCTGTCTCTCTCATGAATAAATAAATAATTTAAAAAAACTCGCCCAAGTCACTTAACAAAGTGCAGAGCAGGTCATTGACAGTTCTGAGATGTTTACTCATTTTACTACTACACTCTCAGCAAGTAAAATATGTAGTCAGTCCTCACTTTGCACAGTAGTGCAGGGTCATGAAAATGTGCAGCAGTACTTCGCTGGCTTGGTTGGTGGAGCATGCCACTCTTGATCTCAGGGTTGTGGGTTCAAGCCTCACAATACATGTAGAGATTGCTTAAAGATAAAATCCTTTAAAAAAATGACCGTGCAGGCAGCCCCGGTGGCCCAGCGGTTTGGCGCCACCTTCGGCTCGGGGTGTGATCCTGGAGACCCTGGATCGAGTCCCACGTCAGGCTCCCTGCTTGGAGCCTTTTTCTCTCCCTTTCCCTCTGCCTCTTCTCTCTCTCTCTCTCTGTCTGTTATGAATAAATAAAATCTTTTTAAAAAATGACCGTGCAAGCTGAAACCATGCAAATCGAATTTAATAATCAATGGGAAAAATCATGATTGTTCCATACCTTTAAAAAAAAAAGTTTGTCAAAACTAAAAACTCTCTGTCTGTTATAAATATATAGGAAAATGAAAAACAAAACATTTACTACATGATAATTTAAAACACTGGAAACGTTGAGGATTAAAAGTGTTTTATTTCCTTGTGAAAACTTTATCAACGATAAATATACTAAAAAACCATTGAACTCTATACTTTAAGTGGGTGAATTGTATGGGATGTGAATCTCAATAAAACTTTAAAAAAAACAGTTTATGAGGAATAGTTTAAACAGCGCTTACCTTCTTAGTCTTCTCATATAACTTAAAATACATAGTAAACCTCTTTTCTATGCCTTAGTGAATCGCCACACTCCTTTCTAAGTTCAGATTACCTACCAACATTTTATCCTTTGCACTTTAAATGTTATGAAATCTCTCAAAGTTCCTTTAATGTGAAGAGTCTTTTGTCAGCGTCACTTCCTCTGGAACAGCTGCATCCTTTTCGTCACAACCACTTTCCTCATTTATGCCGCTAAGTTCACCTTCACCACTTTCCTTCCTCTTGCTGCCCACCCGCAGTCTCTTGAATGACGGCAATGTCAATATCCCTTATTTCTTCTAACTGCATTTACGTTTAATTTGAATTTCATTTCCAACATTATCACTTTTTTGTTTCTCTGTTGGCCTATTCTTTTGATTATCTTTTTTTTTTGGTAAAATGGCACATGTGTTTATTACTGGGAAACAAAGAGGTGACACAACTACATACTTTGCTCTCTGTGTGTGAACTGAATAACAGATCATCAATGGCCAATCACTGACACTTTGGAAGAAGGGACATGATTTGTCACTATTCACTACACATATCTGTTATTTCTGTAGTGATCTATGGACTGGAAAGCTATCAGCAAAGTTTGTACTTCATACAGTTATTGAGTTATACTGCAGAAACTGAAATTTGAGACATGTTGAAGGACTGGGGTCATTCAGTCAAATGGTAGTAATTAAAATCTGTGCATGCCTAAATGATACAAAATAAAGACTGCTTGTGGGGGTGTAGGGGTGTGTGTGCATGTGAGAGAGAGAGAGAGAAAGAGAGAGAGAGAGAGAGAGAGAGAGAGAGATACCTTAAATACCTAGCTGATATTCTGTCCCAGCATTGTAGATCCTCTAGCCCTATTCCTGCCTCTTAAATGAATATTTTATAAGGTTGATTATATATATATGCATTTTAACATTCCTAATTTGTTATTTTAAATTTAAAAATAAATACATGAACGTGGGATTTCTACAAATGCTCCAAATGAAAATAGTGAAATTCACCACTTGGTACCAGAGGTGAACTCATTATTTCTTGTGCAAATGTCCTCTCGATCCAAGCATATTATGAACTAGCACTACCAGGTATGCAGATCATGTATTTGGCATTAAAATGTTTATTCATTAAATTAAAAAATATTTATCATTAAATAAAGATTGAGTGAGTGGGGTACTATGTGTGTGATGCTGTATGACAAGGATCCTGCCTTGTGGTGGGGGCGCTAAGTACACAGAGAGCTAAAACATCAAGTAGTCAGTAATAAGCCATAGAAGAAAGTTGCTGATTAATTTCAGAGATGGGATCAAGGAATACTTTTTGGATGAAGTGACATTGGACATTGGAACCTTGGGAAATGTGTCTAAAAACATTCTGGAGTACCCACAGCCGATCATTCTTACTTGTTTTTTCCATATAGTATTCCAGTCTTCTGGACGAGACCCCTGCATCTTCTGGTGGTAGAAATAACTACTGGCGAAAATTAGACCTCAAAAACATCCCCAGGACAATGATAATATATGACATAGTTGATTATGCAGAGTCTGGAATAATATCAAACCGTCTACAAAAAGAAATGAAGTATCTATTACAGAGACCACAAACAGAAGAGATGCGTCAGCGTCAGCTACGGATTGTTTCTGAAGTTAGGTAAAAGTAACATTTTCCTGGGGTTACAATACTAGGGGTGTTTCTGAAAATGTTCACATTCTGCCAAATAGCTCATGAAAGATAATAATAGGGCATATGGGAAAAATAGGGTTGGGGCAGAATGCTCAAAACGTACACATCTTTGTAAGTAGAGCACTAACCAAAAGGACAATTGGAACCTGGGGAGATAACTCGCACCACCAGACAGGCAGCTCAGGATGGCTAGAGGGGGCCACAGCAAATATTAAAAAACGGACAATAGAGTTGAAACGCTGGCAACTCTTTAATTGGAGTGGGTAGTCAACACAGAGGTAATGCAGATGGAGGTGGAGCCCTGGGCTGGCATGGCTGCCTTTTCAGGGTATGTGAGAGGCAGTGCAACCCGCCAATAACCAGAAAGCCCCCCCCCAAGGTGGGGAGTATGGTGGGGGCAGCAAGGGTGGACTGTGGGGTGGGGGGTGCCTCTGGGGCAAGAGCCCTAGATGCAGGTGCTAATTCTTGTTTTCATAAATACAGCCCAAAGGGCCCCCGTTGCCTATGCAACACAGAGCTGAGGACCTTTTCCTTTTCTGCTGAAGGTTATAATTCTACTCTTGTGATTCTGGCTCCCCTTGCTGAGGACAAATTGCATATAAATTACAGTGACATTATTCTCTTCTTTAGCAATAGCATGTGAGCCAATTCACATTATAGAAGCTCCTATTGTAGCAAAAGAGACTGTATTATGATCTGAAACAATGCGGACAGAATATGACTGCTCCAATTATATTCCTTTTTCTTTCCATTATAAGTCTCACCTAGCCCATCTTATTTACAAGCTTTCTTTCTTAAGAAAAAGAGGTAATCAGATTGAAGAGCATCTATTGGTAGTCTATTTCCATGGAGTCATATTTGAAATGAAAAAATACTCCTTCGGTACACAGAGGAGACACTGGTCTTCTTGTCAGGCAAACACACTGGGTTTTTTTAAGGGCTAGAGATGAGTGGTGCTGACCCAATAATATAATTTAGCCCATATATTTTATGATCGAGGCTATACATTTGCCAGACAGATGGCCTGGTGTAGGGTACAGTCTGTCATCATGAAATAGATTTTCTCTAACTCATCCATATAGACACTGAATATAGAACTTAACCCTATTACCACCAAGGTCAAATAAATGATGCAATTTTCCCTGCCACCATATATAACCCTAGGCTCCCTGCTATTTGGACTCTTGCTACTGATTATCTAAGAATGAGCCACTTGAAGAGCCAAATTAAGTAGCCAAATTCTAAATCAATTAAAGAGGGAAAAGTACTTTCTTACAGATTTCTTTGAATGCGGTGTTTGGGATCTCTCAGGAGATCAAATATTTGAGTATGAGTAGTTTATTTGGGAGGTGATTCCCAGAATCACTGATGAAAGGGAGACAAGGAAGGGCAGGCAGCCAAAACAGCATGTGTTAGCAAACAGGTTACTTCTGCAGGTGAGGGGAGCTTAATCTCTCCTGGGAGTATCCAAGCCATTACAGAACATGCACCTCAAGTTATCTAGTGGGGGCAAGGAAGTTGGGATATTTATAGGCTGATGTGCATCACTCAGTGGCTAAGGACTGTTTCTGAGGGAAAGTGTTAATTCTCAGGCACTTTCCCAGAGCATGGGCTCTCATTTCCACAAGAAAGCTGTCATGCCAAGAGAGGCCAATGCTGGCAGTTGGAAGTTGGGCCTATGTACTTCGTGGTGGTAAGGCCTAGGGGACTGTGGGCATGGTACCACCTGTATCTGATCCCAACACTGATAAAGACAGCTTGTTTTTTCAGCCATTATGAAATTTAATACTCTTTTGTGTTACTATGACTACTACATGGTATTTTCCAGGAAAACTGATTTTAAATTGATACCATGTTCTATAATTTTCATCATCATTGTGATCCACATCATCATTTATACACCTTCATAAGTGCCAAATAAAGAGCTATGCCCTATAATTTAAGCAGAAATGATGCCTTTGGCCTAAAAACTTACATACAGTATTGCTCCAAATACAGAGGCCTATGATCTAGTTGCTAGAAGACGCTTTAATAAAATTTGCAACTTCCTTTACATTTAAATGTTATTTTGTGCATTTTTTTCTGTCTACAATTCAAATCTTTTCTAGATGCCCTTCATCCGTTTCAGCTATCAAACCTTTATATCGGCCCTACCAACAGCAGAATCAAATTAAACATCTGGGTCGTCAATCCAAGCAAGCTCTAATGAATGTGGAAAAAATGAAAAAAGCTTATAAGATGGCTAAAGAAAAAAATGCTTCCGTGGGGACTGTAAGTTGAACTCGTACTGAATTCATTGTTTTGGACACTAGTCAAACTGTTAGTAATTCTTCTTCTGTAAGTAGAATTTTCCTAATTTACAAGTTCAAGGCTAAAACACCTTTGGTATATATGTGGATAGTATAAAGCTGTGTTCCTCTTGGTAACACATGTTTTAAAAATTCTTCAACAATATAGCTAAACTGATAAATACCAGCTGTTTTGGCCTCACATCTGTATAAAGTGGCAAACAACAGTCATCTCTGTATGTTGACACTATTGATTCAGCACATCTCAAATAGTGCTTTTCTCAAAATAAAAGTCATTTCTATCTAGACTTATTTAAAACTATATGCATAAAGTCTGCCTCAGTATATTCCTACATTGTAGGAATATTTACAACTAACATAGCTATGTATTACTTTGTAATTCTTTAAAAATCTATATGTGGTATAAATTTTTTGAAATGAGGCTAAGTATAAACAGTCCATATAAAAACAGAAAGTAGTAAAAAACCAAATGTAAAATCCTTTCCTCTTTTATTTATAATTCTACTTAGGAACCACAAACGGACAAACCAGGCACAAAGCAACAACAGTCAATCATCTTCTCTACCCCATCTTTTGACATTGTGAAAGTTGATGAGCTTGTGTCAGATGAGGAATTGAGAAAAGAAGAAAAGGAATTATTTGCCTGGTATCAAGACTTGTATATTAATAGTTCTCCATCATGTTAATATACAGCTAACTGATAGAAAACCAAATTATTTAACAGTCTGTCTTGCTAATATGCGTATTAAAGGAAAATGAAATATAAACAAGCCTTCAGAATGCTCTCTTAACCAAATGTGTGACCGATTTTTAAGCCATTTTAGTCTTACCATAAGCACTAATATTTTTTACTGACAGAATTTTAATCTGAATAAATTATTTCTACTAGATGCCCTTGAACTAGCTGTATATAGTTTTACTCAAGAAATGATTAGTAAATTAATCCCTGGAACTTTTACTCAATTCTGATTTTCCTTCATTTTTAAAAACATCTAAACAGGCCATGCTTAACATAAATATTAGAATTCACAGAATAAAAGGCTGCTCTTGCATCAGCTTTTTTTTAAACTGGCATGTTGTTTTTACAAAGCACCTTTTGATTGACCTATTCTAAATTATAATACAAATAATAATGAATTTGTTACTACAGTAGACACAACCTAGCATACCTAATCATTATCGAGGATTGTAAGGACCTGGGGCAGAATGTCTCATCTGCTTCAATGTTGTATTGGGATATTTTTCAAGTATAAAAAAGGTTTTGAGTAATATTTACTGATCTCCTTTTGATCTGATCATCTTATTCCTGGTATAGTACAAATTATTGATATTTTTTGTGATCTAGGCTGTTAGATTATATCAAACCTTACCAGGAACTACGATAATTAAACAAAGTACGTTCTTTTTTTTTAGTTTTTTGCCTTTTTAAAATATTTTATTTATTTATTGGAGAGAGAGCAGAGCTAGAGAGAGAGCATAAGCAGTCGGGGTGGGGGCCCAGAGGGAGTGGAAGAAGCAGACTCCCCACTGTGCAGGGAGCCCAACGTGGGGCTTGATCCCAGGGCCCTGGGATGGTGACCTGAGCTGCAGGCAGACACCTAACCAACTGAGCCACCCAGGCACCCCAACAAAGTGCATTCTTTATTGAACTTTAAAAATACAATTTTTGATTTTGTTTAACATTTAAAATATGGAGGTTGATAGCTGATTTAACTCAGGCAAAGCAGTCTATAAATAGATCTCATTCTCTATTAAAACATTTTCTTAAGTGATAAGGAATATTGGAGTAAATGTGTATGATTCCTACTAGAATATATTTAACATAAGCATGTACTCTTCCATATTAATGTATTATTATTTGATATCCAAAATTGGGATGGATAATCCCCTTGTTTTCAGAGCTTGTACTGGGCACCAGTTGAATAGAAAATATGTATTTATCCTCATGAGTCATACATACTCATTCATTAAGTTGGGAAGCAGTCCCTCATCCAATCAAATTCCATTCAGGTTCAGTCTACCCATAGTATGTGCAATAACAAAGCTAGGGAAGATTTCAGGTAACAGGTTGAACGAAAAAGACAAAAGAATAGACTCTACATTTCAAGGCACCCACTTCTCATATTTCATTAGCTCTGACTTTGTCCCATTGTAACGCCTAGCTACAAGGGAAGCTGGGAAATGTACACTTGTTTTAGGCAGTTATGTACCCAACTAAAATTCTATTGTTATAAAAGAAAAGGATAATGGATATTAAGGCATAAATAGCATCCACTGCCAGACAGAGATCAGGTCTTCTATTGATTATTTTAACTCACATTAAACAGTGTAACCACATCACAGAAAATCTTTTTAAAGGTAGAATTACACATAATCTCATCACTGTAAAATAACAACTGTTTTCATTTGCTTATATCTTTCTAAATACATACATATTTTCACATGGTTGTAATCATAAGTAACAGATTTAAAATTTTCACTTAATATATCTTAAACATAGTCCATTAAAAATTAATTTTTAATTTTTTAATTATTTATTTATTTATTCATGAGACACACAGAGATGCAGAAACATAGGCAGAGGGAGAAGCAGGCTCCCCACAGGGAGCCTGATGCAGCACTCAATCCCAGGACTCCGGGATTGTGACCTGAGCCAAGGGCAGACACTCAATCACTGAGGCACCCAGGTGCCCCAATTTTTATTATTTTTTTTCCAATTTTTATTTTTGAAACATTTTTTTTACTTTAAATTCAGTTAGCCAACATATAGTACATCATTAGTTTCAGATGTAGTGTTTGAGCACCCAGGTGCTCCAGACGCCTGGGTGGCTCAGCGGTTGAGCATCTACCTTTGGCTCAGAACGTGATCCCGCGGTCCCAGGATCAAGTCCTGCATCGGGCTCCCTGCATAGAGCCTGCTTCTCCCTCTGCCTCTCTCTGTTTCTCATGAATAAATAAATAAAATCTTTTTGAAAAAATAACACCCAGTGCTCATCACATCATGTGCCCTCCTTAGTGTCCATTACCCAGTTACCCTCTCCCCCCCGACCTCCCCTCCAGGAACCCTCAGTTTGTTTCCTATAGTTAAGAGTCTATCATGGTTTTTCTCCCTCTCTGATGACTTCCCATTCAGTTTTCCCCTCTCTTCTCCTATGATCCTCTGTAAAAAAATAATTTTTAATGGCCACATGATAGCCCATCGGGTTGATGTGGCATAATATACTTCAGTGATTCTAATTTTTCATTTTTGTTGCTAATTAACACTAGAATGAATATCTTCATACAGTCTTTTTCCTTTGGTTTTATTTCTGATACTTATTTTTGACCTAATTGCACTGTAATCAGAAAACATGATTTGTACGATACTGATTCTGGGAAAATTGTTGACTTTATAGCCAAGTATATGATCAGTTTTCATAAATGTTTCTTGAACTTTTAAGAAAGAATGTACATTTTCTTTAGCTGGATACAAGGTTCTACTCATGTCCTTTTGATCAAGCTTGTTAATTATATTATTTCTGTTTTCTATATACTACTAATTTTTGGTCTATGTGACAAGAGTTAATGAGGAAGGTATATGTTCTGTAAGTTTCTCCTTGTGTCAATTTTTGCTTTTTGTTTTTTGAAGATATCATCAGGTACATACATAGTTTCGGAATTAATGTCTCTTGAATGTTATCTTTTTGTGGTTACTGTCTTTATTCCTAATAACCCATTTTGCCTTGGAGACTATTTTGTCCAATATGAACAGAGCTACTCTAGCTTTCTTCTGGTTAGTGTCTACCTGGCGTATCCTTTTCCATCTCTTCATATTTTCATCCTTTTTATGTTTCAGAGACTGGCTAGATGCTCACTAATTCCATTTCTTCTTCCTGGAAACTCAGGAAGAAGCCCAGCTCTTTGCAGTTATGTTGGGACCACCGGAGAATGTGGGTAGCAGCGATGTATGCCACTTCAAGGCTTGGCCCTTAAAATGCCATCCATACTCTTTATATGTTCTCTCTCCCGTGCTCACGTGGCTCAAGGCAAAGAACTCCAAGACTGTGGAACTAGGATCAATGGATCCCAGATTCCTATATCACTGATTGAAGGAGTGACAGCCAGAGCAGCAGCCTGACCTGATGAACTGTGATGTGAGCAAAAATTAAACCTTGTTATGTTAAGCCCCAGTGATCTTAGGGGTCGATTGTTCCAGCAGCTAACATTAATCATTCTGATATACTATGTCTTTGTATTTTAGGTTTTCTCTACGGTACCACAAATATCTGGATTGTTTTGTTTTGTTTCATTTTAGTCCAATCTGAGGATATCTTTCTTTTGACTGGTGAGTTTAGAACATTTACACTTTACTGTGATTTTAATTGATTGTTGGCATGTGCCATTCTCTTTACCATTTTATCTTGTGATATCTATCCTGCTTTTTCTATATCTTCTTCCCCTTCCAATTTTTTTTCAGATTATTCTTTTGATTCCACACTGTTCCCTCTATTGGTCTATTTCTCTTCTTTGTGATTACTCTTAAATTTTAGCATGTGTGCTTAAAATCTAAATCAATAGCTCCAGCCCCCTCCCAAACTATCCAGGGGCCTTCAGATGGCTAATCACCATCCTCTTGGTCTTAAAAGTCATTGTTTATCCAATGTTTGAGCGCACCATCTTATTTTTAACCTCCAAATTAGATGTTGTTTTATAAATCTCCAACTTTCCTTCTGGGATCGTTTCTCTTTATCCTAATATGTACTCTTAAAAGTTCCTTTTTATTTATTTACCCATGAGAGACACACAGAAAGGCAGAAACATAGGCAGAGGGAGAAGCAGGCTCCCCACAGGGAACCCAATGTGGGACTTGATCCCAGAACCCGGGGATCACGACCTGTGCCAAAGGCAGACACTCAACCACTGAACTACCCAGGTGCCGCTTCACCCTATTCTTAAATACATAATTTAAGTTGGTATCAAATTCTATGTAGATGGTGGTATTCTCTCAGCAATCTGAAGTTAATGTTCCACTGTTGCAGCCAGGCTAGTCGTTGCCTTTTACCTGACCGCTCTTTTCTGACAACTTTTAAGATTTTCTCTTCCCATTTTGTGTTCTTCAGTTATGTAGAAGATTGTCCCACATTCTCTCTCATCTACCTCCATTTTCTTTCACCTTACTGTCCTGTGAGAGTCTGACTTTATGCAGATGTCTCAGTTCCAATTCCCTACTTTCCCTGTTCCAAGATCTTGTCTCACACACATACATGAAGTCATTCAAACCCAAGACTTAAGGTTCCTGAGAGGTGATGGATATGCTTAGGTCCTCAGTCACAGACCATAGTTAGTTTGGAGCTCCCTCTTTATTTCTCACTCCTGAGGATTTTCCTACTTAGAAGTTTAATGATACCTTTTTTTTTAAAGGTTTATTTATTTGAGAGAGAGAGAGAACATGCACGGGGCGGGGCAGAAGGGAGAAGGACAAGCAGATTCCGTGCTGAGCAGGGAGCCTAACACAGGGCTCAGTCTCAGGATGCTGAAACCATGACCCAAGTTGAAAACAAGAGTTGGACTCTTAACCAACTGCACCACCCAGGCAACCCTTGATGACACCTTTTATTTATTTTTATTTTAGAGATTTTATTTATTTATTTGAGAAAGAGAGAGAAGGAGAGAGTGAAAACAAAAGAGCACAAGCAAGGGGAAGAGGCAGAGACAGAAGGAGAACCCGATGTGGGGCTTGATCCCAGGACCCTGGGACCACGACCTGAGCCGA